CTCTTTATTATTATCTCTGCATGTCTATCTAGGTAAGGTAGGTGGGATAAACAATCTGGAGGAGAAAACAACAGGACTGACGGGGGACACGGGAGAGGGGGAGGCGGGGGAAAGGAAGCGGGTGTTAACAAACCAAGGGAGTGGGGAACAAATGATCTAAAATTGATGGCGATGAGGGCATAGGATACCTGGTAGGGCTTGATCAAGGGCAATGTAACAGAGAAATTACTGTAACCTGAATGAAGGCCAAATATGATAGTGGGACAAGAGGGAAGTAAAAGGAGATAGCGGAAAGAAGTAGGAGGTAAAGGATATTTATAGAGGTCTAAATACAGGAATATACATATGTAAATATATTTATATATAAGGACAGAGAAATAGATCTATGTACATATATTGATCTGTTAAAGGTAGCAGATGGACATTGGGCCTCTAGTCAAGTACTCCCTCTATGCAAAAACACTTTGTTCTAATAACCTGGCATTTTGTGATGCTCAGCTTCCAGACACAATCACTGAAGACAAAAGGGGTACATAAGTAAATGTGGTGAAGAATGCTGATGGTGCCTGGCTAGCAAAAGATATAGCGTCTGGGGTCTTAAAGGGTTGAAGAGAAACAAATGGCCATCTAGCTGAGAAGCAACAAAGTACACATGGGAAAAGCACACCAGCCTGTGTGATCATGAGGTGTTGTTGGCCTCAGGTATCAAGCTTCAAAGACCGAGAAAAAAATCACATTAATGTGAATGAGGGGGAGCAAAAGTGGAGAACCAGAGCCCATCTGTAGACCTTTGAACATCCCCTTACAGAAGGGTCACAAGGAAGAGATGAGCCAGTCAGGGTGCAGTATAGCACCAATGAAACAGACAACTTTCCTCTAGTTCTTTACTGCTTCCTGCCCCCCATTATCATGACCCCAATTCTACCTTACAAATCCAGCTAGACCAGTGCATGTACACTAGTACAGATAAGAGCTGGAAACACAGGGAATCCAGGACAGATAAACCCCTCACAACCAATAACAAGGGTAGCAATACCAAGAGGAAGGTGGGGGGACCAAGAGAGAACTGATCACAGTGATCTACATATAACCCCCTCCCTGGGGGACGGACAACAGAAAAGTGGGTGAAGGGAGACAACAGTCAGTGTAAGATATGAACAAATAATAATTTATAAATTATCAAGGGGTTAAGAAGGAGGGAGAGGGGGGAGGGACGGGGGAAATGAGCTGATACCAAGGGCTCAAGTAGAAAGAAAATGTTTTGAAAAGGATGATGGCAACAAATGTACAAATGTGCTTGACACAATGGATGGATGGATGGATGGATTGTAATAAGAGCTGTACAAGCCCCCAATAAAATGATTTTTTTAAAGCGTAGAAAGTCTCATCTTTCTCTATTGGAGCAGCTGGTGGTTTCGAACTGGTGGCTTTGTGGTTAGCAGTCCAATGCATGGGCAGTTATTATTTTTTAAGTTGAGACAATAGCCTAATGAATATAACACCTCTGAGGCTTGAGTCTGACGACAGTGTACAATGTAGGATACAAGTAGAAATACATGTTAGAGGGGGAAAAAATTGATGAAAACTGAAACGGCAGCAGTTACGGTTAGAAAAAGGAATTTCAAAATACAGATCAATAGGTCACTAAAGATGGTATTTCCCAAAAAGGTGGCATCAAAGAGGAGAAAAGCTTCAAGTTTCAAACCTGTATGTTGGGAAATAGTGATATGACCAACCAAAGGGAATGGTTTTGAAAAAGACATTTTAGGGACAATGAATTGAGTTGACCCCAGTACTGTTAAGTGGATTTAAATAGCATGGAATTATAAACATGAAACTGAAGCTTGGAAAATAGATCACAGTTAGGAAGAGAAATTGGAGTGCTTCTTTTAAGATTAAGAT